ATAAGCATTCATCTTAATAGACACATAAAAGACATTAACATGTATTTCTTTCTTGGGATATTTATGGTCAGAAAAGGAATTTCTAGTTTCAATATAAGCTTGCTCGAGCGGGCCCAGTAACGTCTCCATTGGAGACTTTGTTGTTACTGTGTCTGGCATATCCAATACTCTCGGTAGCTTGCCGGGCTCTCCGAGAGGGGCGGAGGAATCGAACTCGGGTCGGCCATGTTGGCTGCGTGCAAGGCAGACGCCCTACCCGCTGTGCTATCGCTGACTGATATATGTGTAACAAATCTCTAAGTTCTTTTACTGAAAAAAGAGTTAGGGGGAGGGACTGGAGAGATAGTATAGGAGATAGGGTACTTGGTGGCTGACCTAGATTTGATCCCTGGCATCTCTATGGTCCCCCGAGCACTGTTAGGAGTAATTCCCAACAGAGAGCACAGACTGAAGTAACCCCTGATCACTGCCAGGAGTGGCCCCCCAAACAAATAAACAAAAAAGGTAAATGGAAAATAATTCTTACCACAAAAGTTTTTTTATATTATTGCATAGTTCTTTTATCTATCCTCCTCTTTCCTTTAGGGACAGAGAATGGATATTTGGGGATTTTTCCTAAATCAAATAGAAAACTCCTGCTTCTCCAATGTCAACTTTGTAGGTTTGTTTGTGTACATAACGAAGATTAAATTTCCATTTCTTAAGAAGATAGAAGAATCCTCAAACCTCCTGCTTCTCCAATGTCAACTTTGTAGGTTTGTTTGTGTACATAACGAAGATTAAATTTCCATTTCTTAAGAAGATAGAAGAATCCTCACTAAGGAAGAATATAGTCAGAAATTTAAAAATAAAAAAAAAATCAGGAATTCATTAAATTTACACAGCCAAATTAAACACTTTTGTGTAGACTAAATCTTTGTTGTTTTTGTATATAAGATGGATGTATGTAATGTTTTGCTATAATTTTCATCTTAACTTCACCTTTTGTCTATGCATATTCTTTCTTCAAGTCTCATTTTTAGGCCAAAAAATTAATTTTTGGAACTCTGTTCCATATATTGAATAGATATTTTTCTTTGAAGTTCCCTGAATAGTCAGAATAATCTTTTAAAAGATGACATAGACATCTACCTGCAGAACATAAAAACACTCTCTCAAGAAGACAGCACAGCGGTAGGGCATTCGCCTTACAAGCGGTCAACATGGTCGACCCAAGAAGACATATGTACAACATTATTCATTGTTGCACCCAGTACAGCAGTTAACATATGGAATCGACCTAGGTGTCCAACAAGAGATGAATGGATTATAAAGATATGGAATGGAATACCATGCAGCTTCAAAGAACAATGAAATCATGTAATTTACTGAGATTTATCTTTAAACTGGAAGATACCGTGATGAGTAAAGTAAGCTAAAAGAAAAGAACAACAGAGTGATATCACTTATCTGTGGCATATAGAATACTGGATGGGGAAACGTGCTGTAGTAAAGGGGATGCTTAGATCACCCTTAACCTCAGTGTTTAGAGAGGAGGACAGGGAAGGAAAGAAACCAAAGGGGAAGAAGAGAACAGAAAGTAATGGGTGAACAGGAATCAGGGCTTCAGTTATACTCATGGTAAGGCTAGACGTAGCCTTATATCCAAAACACAGACTCAACAACATTCAAGCATCAGTAAATTTGTAAATCACCGTTATTTAATTTTAAAAAAATTAAGAAAGAAAAGGTAACCCAGAAAGCTAGTGGATAACAGAACTGACAGCTAACCATTGAACCAGAGAAAATGGATTCAGTTTTGATGTTATGAAAGAGTATGTAGACCTGCAAGAAATGATAATTCAAGAAAACTGAAAGCAAGTAATTTAAAATATATTAGCATACTCAAATATTTGGTTAAGTTCACAAAATTTCTTTTAATAATAGAACATCATAAACAACTATTTTTTCTTCTGAAATAAAGGGATTAATTCAATAATTGGTGCCCTCATTCTGTATGTCAACTTTTTGCATCTTTCTGGACAGGACAGAATAATAAAGGAGAGAACATGGGCTTGTTGGACAAATATCTGACAGAATTTTGACTCTGCCATGTTGGGAAAGTTATTTTATCTTAATAATTTAAAGATAATCTTGGCTGTTATTAGAATATGGTAATCTCTAGAGTTGTATTATATTTTTCTCTCTCTCTCTCTCTGTCTCTGTCTCTCACATACACACATGCAAACACATTCACATACACACACATACACACGCATAATGAGATCTGAACATAAGACACAGTGCTTGGCACAGACAAAGCACTGTTTTCTTCTGGAATTTGTTCCATTGGACTCCTAAATCAAATGACAAGTGATTATCAGTCTTGTCTTCAAGTTAGGAGCACTGCTATTCCCCATTTTATTTGATTCTCAATATTTATGGAAACACTGAATTATAAAATATACAATGACCACCTCCTGTACTAAATTAATAACTCACCACTTGGAACATTTACTGAATTATATTATTGGCTATTTAGTCATAATTGAAGTATAAATATCAAAGACTATTATTTTGTATTATTTCAACAGTTTCTATAAAAATCAATTCTATTTTGCATCAATTAGACAGAAATATTCTTTATAAAATATGCATATATCACAGTGAACTACCTTGAGCAGAACACAAAGTTAATCACACAAGCAAATCAAATGCTTTTCTGAGGCATTACATAATTTTTGATGAGCCCTTTGATTTAATAAAATATAATAATTATAAGGTAAACAACTAAAAGACTTGTTTTGCTTCCTATGAACAAATGAACTAAATATTTCCTATGAATAATAGGTATCTCTTAGAATAATATAATTTTAGAATTAGGTTTGGCATATGACTAATTTTCCACAAACCTGAGTAGAATATTGGGGGAAAAGAAATATATTTTTCATGATTTTATGGTTCAGTCTTGAAGGAAAAAAATTTGTTAACTATTTGTCTTGTTACCTTTCATATCTCAAAGTCACCTGTAATGTGACTATGATTCAGAAGCATAGATGCTGAGACATTATCATTAACTAATATACTTTTTTATTCTTAGGATATTTTTGAAAACCTAATAGAAATAAAGGATCACCATAACAATAATTTTAAATTTAATAAATGTGCTTGAAGTATACCAGAGAAAGTAGTCTCATTTCTTAAAATGTACCTGTGAATCATCATAGTACATGGAAATTTAAATTTCAAATCTCTTATCAAATTAATAATATTTATCAGAAATATATAAAAATCCCATACAAATTAGTTGCATCACCTAATTTTCATTAATTATTCATTAAAGTTCTGACTAAAATATAAATTACAGTGCCTGCTACATAGTTGATATAATAATTTTAGATATTTCCTAAGGTACTAATTTTATGCAGTTTTGCAAAACCCTTCTGAATGTTCTAAGCAACTGGACAAGAAAATACAAATCAAGATGTATAGAGCTTAATTTTTCAGCTATTTATTTTGACAGAAAGATTTCACTTCCTATGTGGGACTGATTTTAAATACTAACAATCTACTTGTAAAGTCTATGGCTTACTTATTATCAAATATGATTAATTTAGTCTGTTGGTTCCTGGCAGAGCCTGCAGTAATGGGAAATTATCATAAGCCAATATATCTTGATTGCAATAGCCTGTACTTTTATTGTCTGTCCAGATTCTTTTCACATCAGACCTATAATGAAAAGCTAAGTCACAAACAGAGGTATTAGAAGACACACAATGGGGCCACTGTTCTCTAGAACAAATCAAATTTTCAATAACTCATAAGATTATTTGAGGACTTTCATTATATAATATTTCAACAAACAATTAAATTCTACATCTTTATCATTTAGCAGTCCAGGCACTGTGTATCTTAATGTACAAAGGCCATAAAATAAATTAAAAATAAACAAAATCATATGTTTAAAGTCCACGTGTCACTGAGAAAACAGTCGGAAAATGTTTAAGTAAGAATTAAAGGAAACTGTATTGTTGGATTTGGTGGCAGTGATAGACTCTCTCGAGAGGTTGACAATATGCTCCAAATGTTGTATGTGTCATTCTCCTCTCAACCCCATTCATAAAGTGCCTTTCTGTTACGCAATGGGATCACCCTGCCAGGTTAATGAACACAGATTGATGTTGAATGCTCACAATTCCACACACAAAGGAGAAAGATTCACTCCTTCTAACTTAAAAACAAAACTTAAGCAGGAGGCTTGGGTCAAGTCACCTTTGCACTAGAGTCCTTTGCATTTTCCTAAGGAGGCAAACCTCAGAAATGGGAAGCCAGAGAGCACAGCAAGAGGCACATCACTCAGGAAAGCTCAGACAGGGGTGGGGGTCCTGAAGGACCGACCTAGCCAACTCCGTGCATTCAATCAAGAGCTAGCACACCTCCGAAGTGAGTCGAGCCCCGGTGTGTCTCTTGATTCACTGATATTATCAGAAACGCAATCGAAGAAAGGGGACTTCGGGGACCCTAACAGGGGTTTCTCTTTTTACATGGCTCTCTTACCCAAGCGAAATGACTGTTCCAGCCGCGAGGAGAGAGAGAGAGAGAGAGAGAGAGAGAGAGAGAGAGAGAGAGAGAGAGAGAGAGAGAGAGAGAGAGCTCTCAACTAGAGTAAGTCTCTGTGTTTGCATCGAGATCCCAAACCCGGGAAGCCAAGAGGGAACATCAATGCCAACACAAGATTCCATGCTCCCCTGACTTTTTGTTTGCTCCGGTTTGCATTTTAGGCATTCTCACCCTTTGTGCGGAACCAGGGAAGATTGTGGATATTCCTTTCACTCATCAAAGCACCCCCCAGTCACAGTCAGTGACGAGAAATCCAACTCTTCTCCAGGTACTAAGTCTCCGGGGCTAGCTGCCGATAAAGCTTCCCCTTTGGTCGGGGAGTTTGTGCCAGGCTCCGGGGGGGGCGGGGGGGAAACATCTCTCCCCAATTTCTCCCGAAGCTTCCCAGTGTACCGACCCACCTGCATGGGAGCTTCGTGTCTCATTGTCCGTAAAACGTTCTTTTTCGCTGGCTAGGACAACGCTGACCCGGGCGCCCAGTCCAGCACGCACAGTCCGAGCGCTCCACGCTCAGCACTCTCGGGGCTCGCTAACCTGCTCCAACATCAGCACCGGAGCTGTCCCTCCCCACGCCGCACGCGCCTCTTCGCCCGGGGCCCCGCGGGCTGCTGGGAGTTGTAGTTTCTTGCCGAGGCGCGAGCCTGCGAGCCCGCGAGCCGCCGACTACATCTCCCGGCAAGCCACGCGGCACAGCAGGCTGCCTCCTCCCGTCGCGGACTCGGCCGCCGAGCTCCGCTTTGCCTCCTTTCGGAGCCGGTGCTGGTGCTGGCCGCGCTCTGTCGGCTAGTCCCTTTTCCTCGCGAGGAGAAGACAAAAGTGACCATCGTTTATCGCATCTGGATATTTCTCCTCTGCCCACACACGGCCCGGGCTAGACGCGCCCCGTCCTATTGAAGAAACGCACCAGCCAGCGGATGCTAATTCCCGGGACAAATGAAGCCGGCGTGGTGGGACCCTCCGCCCCTCGCTCCCCCATCCGAAATGGGGGAAAGTTGACATGTTTCTGGATGGAAGTGGTCTGACCATCCCACACAACGAAAGGCGATAAATAGAACGCGCATGCATAGGAAAAGTGATTGAACCCATTTCACCCGTGGCATGGAGAAAGCGCACGGGCGCGCGGACACACACACACACACACACACACACACACACACACACACACATCTATGCCTACTCAAGTGCGTCAGAGCGAGATTTCGCGAAGAATAGGCCAAGGCGCTGCCTTCTCCTCCTCCTTACCTTTGCATACAGCTCCATTGCAACTCGAGGTTGACTCCGAAATTCTCCCTGCTCCGACCCAGGTGAGGGTCTGACGCTGGAAGCGGAGTCGAACTGGGCAAGGCGCGGCACAATGGAAGAGGCGGTGGATAGCGACTGGCACGGGGGCGGGGGGATGAGGGACGAAGGGCAGGCAGCGGATTTGGAGAGACGGGTCTCTGCTCCGGAGGGGAAACGTGGAGTCTTCAAGTGGCAGCTGCAGAGAAAGGGCGAAGAGCTCAGGACGTGCCAGGGGCAGGCTGGCGCTGGGCAGCCCCTCCCCGCGCCCTCCTACCCCCACCCCCTCCCTCCGGCCCCCGCCCCCACTCCCGGGCACCTGCAGTCCTTAGTGTGTGTGCACGGCGCACGCGGGCCCCAGCTCGAGAGCTGGTGGGCACCGGGTTGTTTGCTCAGCGCAAGTCTCACTGAAACGCACACGCTCATCACCAGCGCCCAGAAGCAGCGGCACCGAACGAAACCCAAGAGCTCTGTTAAGTTCACCTTTCCGGTTTTGAACCTTCCTTGCAATGGGAAGGTTTGTACCCTACCTCCCCGACTACTTTCAGAAATGATGTTGAAGCCGTACCTTGATTCTGCGTGTCCTTTTTTCCCTGGGTTCGCTAAAGCCTGCGAATCTCTGAGTTCGCAGCGCCTATCTAGAGACACCGAACTCCCTTCCTCAGTTTAGCAAGAATGCCTACCTTTGGCAGGGAGCCAGTTGACGACTCTGGAGAGAGTTGAGAAGGACTCGTCTAGAACCGGCACGCCGACTTGGAAATAATTGGTTAAATCAGTTTGGAACCTTATTATTGCATTAGACGAAAGCAGCAGAAACAGTGATTTAAGTGTGTTTACAATTCCATCTTTTTTGTTTTTATTCCAAAGACACGAGTCTTAGAAATTCTAATTTGCTGAGTGTAAGGGGCGTGGAAATTAGCTATTTATTTATGTTTGGGGGCCACGCCCGTCGGTCGGTACTAGGCAGCTATTCTTGCACGTGTGCTCAGGAGTGACCCCTGGCGTGCTCAGGGGGCAATACGCGGTACTGGGGATTGCAAGCAACTGCTTTATCCCTGCACCATCTCTCTGGCCACAGGAGAATTCGCATTTATTTCAAACAGGCACTTGAAAAATTGTCATGCGCGTGGTCCTTAACTGAAACTCTAAGAAATACAAAGAAGTTGGATCTTACGCATGTGCGGTTTTTTTAAGGATAGAAACCTCAGACTGTTCACAGTATTTACCCAGTAACAATGAAATGGGAATTCACCACATCCAAAATGGTCCTTTAATTTAAATTTTTTTTGTTAATGTTGTTGGTTTTGTCATTAGGTTTATAAGAATTAAAAGAATATTGGCAATATCTTTCATGGTAGCAGTTTAATAGAATTAGTTGCTTTTTAGATAATAAAATATTTACACAGCTAGAGTTTGTCTTTCTTCAAATGTTCTTGTGATTCAACAGCAACCAAAACCCTTTATCAACAGATTTGTCAGGAATAAGGGGGAGGTTTCAGCCTCTTCTTCCTGTGTGCACTATACTTACATTTTTTATCATAAGGAGTATTTTACAAATCCCAACTTCATTCCCTTTAGCACCCCATGCTCACATGACGCTTGTGGATGATTACCTGCATCTTCACAGAAAAAAAAAAGAGAGAAAGGGATCTGTTTCTGTCTCCTGCCGACATAGAAATAATATTGACAACAATAGCAAAAGCATCAAAGGGGGAAATTTGTGTCTGCCTTTAAAACTACACAATACATGCTTCCTTAATAAAAAATTTAATTACAAGATAATGAAACCACACAATAAATTAATTAAATCAAAGACATCATAAAAAAGAAAATTGAAAACATAAATCCTTTTCCTCTTACATAGGAATATGATTTTGAAAATATTGTGGAAGGGGCTCTTACTCAGGGGTGCTCTAACCAGAGTCCCAAAATTCAAGATAAAAGCTTTAACAACTCTGTACTATCTCTCTAGCTTCCTGGATTTGTAACGAAACTTTAAAGATAGAATATGGTTACAAGACGGTAAGGACACTGCTATTGAATGTGATAAAGTCACATATTAGAATGTAAGAGAGACATTTAGGTCTTGAGGACCAGAGAAGGTGACCCCCCCACACACACATCCCCAATCCCCACATCAGAGGGATGGCTGCAGTGAAGACTCGTACCTTCACCTTCCACTTTAGTTTTCCTTTCACTTTTCCCCTCAGTGCTATTTATTATTGCTTGGATTTTTTCGTTTTTTGGCACTCTGTGTTGCCCTAATATTTACCTCACTTTGCTGTTTGCTTTTAATGAGTCTGCTTATTTACTTCCCTTTTTGAGTCCAGGTCTCTGATAGATCTATTAAACAATAAAACTCTATCTAGTAGCATCAAAATGGGATTATTTGTTGGGCTAAAACAAAAAAGAAGGATAATTATTTATTTTTTATAATGATAATATTGGTATAATCAAAAACAGTAACAGACATTTTGCTTTTACTACTGTCATTGTCTGTGCTAGGACTTACACTGGGGTGGGGGGAGGAAGCACTATGACCTGGTACAAGAAACAATGATGGATGCCCTTAGAGAGTCTTTTACTTTTTTCTCTAAATCTTACCCAAATCTACAGCAAAAGGATATGGACGGGGTGTATTTGAAGGCCATTTCCAATCAAACAGGGCTTTTTTCTGGTTTGAGCCCTCTCAACTCTGACTGCCTTTGATTTCAGCTTCATATAGTATCTCGATGGAGAAATGTTATTGATTATCTCATGTTTCCTTTGAAAGAAATTAAACATTCCCATGATGTTATTGATTTGATAATTGAAAGGAAATCATTCCTATTCATGATGTTTGAAACCTCACAAATAATAAAAGGTCCTTTATTCAAAACCTTTAAAGTACTCCACTTGATCACTTGATCACTTGACCTCCCCTTACTCATCGATTTGCTCGAAAGAGCGTCAGTAACATCTCCATTCATCCCTGTTGTGTGCTAGTGTAGCCCAATGGCATGTGCTCATTCTAGGAATATGAAGAGCCTCAAGTCAATCATTCAGGGTCTTGAGGAAGAAGTCTGACCATCTCGTAGGTGGGTGGCCACATGATCTTTTTAAAAAATTTTTTTTACATTAAAAAAATTTTTAATAGTGAGACATCATGAGGTACAGTTGCAGACTTACACATTTTTGTGCTTGGGTTTCAATTATACAATGATCAAATACCCATCCCTCCACCAGTGCCCATTTCCCACCACCACGGATCCCAGTATCCCTCCCACCCCCCCATCCCCCTCATCCCACCCTGCCTCTGTGGCAGGGCATTCCCTTTTGTTCTCTCTCTCTTATTGGGTGTTGTGGTTTGCAAAAGAGGCAATGGGTGACAATCATGTTTAGTCTATAGTCTACTTTCCGCATGCTTCTCCCATCCTGGGAGGATCTGCACAACACTTTTATTTGGTGTTCCCTTCTCTATCTGAGCTCCCTTTTCCCCTAGTATGTGTGGCTGGCCTCAGGAATTTTACTCCATGGCTTAGAGGCCAACCACATGATCTTTTGACGTCCTATGGAATCCAGTCGAGCTCTAGTCCAGCGATCACCTCCAAATCTCATTATGTGTCCAGCCAATCTGATTTTCGACGCCTTGGCAAATGAGGGGCTGGAGCGATAGCACAGTGGTAGGGCCTTTGCCTTGCATGCAGTCAACATGGCCAACCTGAGTTCGATTCCTCCACCCCTCTCGGAGATCCCAGCAAGCTACCAAGAGTATCTCGCCCGCATGGCAGAGCCTGGCAAGCTACCCATGATGTATTCGATATGCCAAACACAGTAACAACAAAAGTCTCCAATGGAGACGTTACTGAGCCTGCTCGAGCAAATCAATGAACAACGGGAGGACAGTGACAGTGACAGTGGCAAACGAGATAGCATCCCTAATTCTTGACTGTCGATGAGGGTCGGAACTCCAGATTCATTCTCTCATATGAGTAAAGTGTGATACTCCAAGCATAGTTCATTCGATTCCTCTTTGGGAGACCCAAATAGCATTCTCATCCTGTTTTTGTAGGGCCCAGGTCTCTGAGGCGTATGTTAATGTAGGAAGAACAGTGGAGTCAAAGAGATGTGCCTGGAGCTGGAGGTTCTTCATCTTTTTAGCTATTTCTTCAATGCTCTTGAAGGAGTTTCAAGCCGCTCTCTTCCTCCTGCTCAACTCAGGTGCCAGGTCATTTATCATGTTGATTTCTTGACCTAGGTACACATAACTGTTGCATTCGGAGATGGTCGTTCCATTGAAAGCGAATGGAGCC